AGAGTGAGCATCATGGTGAGAATTCAACCAAGGTATCCCCACAAGACCTAGCTCTCTTCCAAAGCCAGGTTGGGTGTCTCATGTATGCAGCCCTACGCACAAGGCCTGACTTAGCATTCACAGTATCTAAGCTAGCTCAACATATGAGTGCCCCAACACCCATCCATATGCATGCAGTCAAGAGAGCTCTTCGGTATCTCAAAGGTACTTCTAATCTTGGTCTTTTCTTCCAAGGCAGCCCACATGCATGCTCCCTCCAAGGCTTTACCAATGCAGATTGGGCGGGAGAATTGAGCACACGCAAGTCCACCGGCGCCTACATCTTCCTCATGTGCGGTGCCGCTGTTTCTTGGCAATCACGCAAGCAAAGTTGTGTGGCGCTTCCTACAACCAAAGCTGAGTACATGGCAATGACCGAAGGAGCAAGGGAATCAATCTGGTTACGTGGAATTTTGGAGGACTTGAGGCAGCCACAAACCCAACCAACAATACTCTACGTGGACAACACTTCAGCTATCGCTCTCTCCAAGAATCCGGTTCATCATGGGCATACAAAACGCATCGAGGTGCAGTACCATTTCATCCGTAAGCAAAGAGAAGGGAGTTCTCGCCATCAACTTTTGTCGTTTGTTCGATCATGCGGCAGATTTCATGATCAAGGTTCTGCCACATGATGCATTCAACATGTACAAGGCAAGAGCAAGTGTCATGACACTTCATGAAGCTGTGGAGCAGTTTGAGGAGAATGAGGAGTGTGAGGAGAAGAGACATGGGCAACAGCATGGAGTGTATGCTAAGGAGATGTGAGAGGAGCATAAAGATGGATGTATGTGTGCTTCGGGTCTGGTGCGAGGGGGAGTGTTGGAGAATCGAGTTTCTGCCGCCCCAGCCCTTTGCACACAAGGAGCAGCAAGGGGGGAATGTCGGCGACGGAGTCAAGGCTTCGCGAAATATTCAGAAACTTCCGCAACCAATCAGATTGCAGCTTAAGACTCGATACAGTTCGGGATTGCTCTCAAACAGAAGTGTCGACATTTTCTACAGGTTTCTACAAAACAGAATCAGCTATAATTGAAAATTCCAGAGATTTCTTATGCATGCACCTTATGTGGCTCTCAAAGTCACTCAAGGTTCATGGAATCTGAATTGCTTTGTCTAGCAGTCTAGTTTGAGCTACCTATCTGCCTTGTTTGTGATGCTTATAGAGTTGTGCCTTAGTGGCCTTGTATAATCTTGAGCATAGTGAAGTTTTACCTTTTTCAGTCAATTCTAGCAGCCCTGCTAAGACTTTCCAGCCAAGTTTCCAGCCCTCCAGTAGTCAGAACTACTCTGTTTTACAAGTGAATCCACCGTTGACCGTTGAAACTCATGGCTTACATATCTTATACCGGGGCGGCTTGTAGCAGTGCACCGACTCACGATAACGCGAATCAACAACCAGCCATGTTCTGCCGCCGTTTGCGCAGCCGCCTTCCCACCTACGGCCTTTCCCTGCCGCTCCGCGCTTCCTCTCGCTCTCCCCTCTTCTCCTCGCCATGATATGCGCCGTGTTCCGCGGCGAGATTTGCGCCGCGTCTCGCTCTCGGGTTCAAGGAGTGGAACTGTGCGATCCCGCTCTGACGTTCCTCGAAACGGCCGCAGCGCGCCCCGCAATTCACGCTGTCTCGAGTTTAGCGCTAGCAGCTGGCGCCACTGGCGCTTCGCGGACGCGCTTGTAACAAGTTCCGTCGCGCGCGGGAAAGCGCTGCCAATCCGCGCGGAGGACGCGCGGGCGGAGAGACTTGCGGGGAACGCGGAGAAGGATCCGCGCGGGGATGCGGAGGAGGGCGCGCGGGGAGCGCTGCGGAGGGACATGTTCCCACCAGGATTCCTGTTTGGCACCGCCACTGCCGCCGCCTATCAGGTGGGGGGGGCAGGGGGGAGCATGGGGGGAACGAGGTGGGGGCGCAGGCAAGGGGGGAGTAGTGGAGGAAGGAGAGGGAAGGAGGGAGGGCGGAAGGGCATGAGGCCAGACGTGTTGGTGATTGGCAGGGCCCACAGCTGGTTACCCTAAATCATAAACGCACGCATGCTCCTCTGGCTGCTTGCATGGGAGGGGGCAGGTTCTGGCAATTCGATGACACGTGGTCGCGTGGGGCCGCGAGGTGAGCGCACGCATGCGAGGAACGACCCTGTGCCCACCACACCTTATGCTTAGCTGCGCACCCCTTCTTCCCCCTTCTTCCCCCCTGGGTGCGCAGGTGGAGGGGGCAGCGCGGGAAGGAGGGCGAGGAGCCAGCATCTGGGACGTGTTCGCCCACACGCCAGGTGCGGTAGCACGCCAGGTACTGTAGCACGCCAGGTACCAAGTGTCGATGTTGCAAAGCGGAAGACGCACTATTGGCACAGAAGGCCAACAGTCACCCGTGCGTACATTAGCCTGATCGCGCGTGTAAATGCATGCGTGAGCATGAATGGGTTTGAGTGGGCATATGTGAGCATGTATATGCATGTTCAAGCATGTGTGAGTACACACTCATTCCATGTATATGCTTTTTTGCTGCAAATCGGTGTGCTGCGACTCTGTAAGTTACAGGAAGGACACACAACGGGGACACAGGTGACGTGGCGTGCGATCAATACCACCGATACGAGGCGTGCCATGCCCCTTCACCTCCACCCGATCAGCTCCACCCCACCAGCACCCTCCTGCACCTCTGTATCTCCCTGCTGCATGTTCCAAGCACCAGTCCCCAAGGCGTGTTCACTACTGGGCATGGCCAGCCAGTCGCCCCAGACGTCAAAGCTCACTGTAACAGGGCGTGCAGGAGGATGTGGGGCTAATGAGGCAGCTGGGCTTCTCAGCTTAACAGCTCTCTGCCTCCCTTATATACTCCCCTTCATTGCCCAGTGCGCTCCACACTCCACATCCCTCCCTGCCTTTCCCTGCCTGCTTGCCTGCCTGCCTGCCTGCCTGCCTGCCTGCCTGCCTGCTTGCCTGCTTGCATGCCTGCGTGAGTGCAGGAGGACGTGGCACTAATGAAGCATCTAGGCTTCTCAGCCTACTGCTTCTCCATCAGCTGGTCACGCATCCTCCCCTGTGCGTCCACTTTCCTCGCCTTGTGTGCTCACCACCTCGCCTTGTGTGCTCCATAGCACACTCCGTGCAAGGTGGCTGAGGAATCATCCTGGGTTTAAAGAGAGCGTGTCTTGCAAACTCTAGGAAGCGAGCCCATTGCACCTCGTTTCCCGTGTATAACCATCGCACTTCTCCTGGCTATATTCCATTTTTTTCTGCTGCCCTCCATGCCGGCTCTCACGGGCTCACAGCGGGGCGGCAGCCAGTGAACCAGAAGGGCGTGGATTACTACAACCGCCTCATTGACTGCTTTCTCCATAATGGTGGGCCACCGATTTCAACCGCTCTGCATCTCTCCTTTTTCCCGTCTTTTGTATTTGAAGCACAGCAGGACAGTAGAGAGGTAAATGGGTTACCAAAGCATCCTGCCTACCGTGAATGAAGAGAGCGGGAACTACAGCGAATGACATCAAAATGGAGGACAGGAGGTAAAAATGGTAGCCTGGCCGCAGCTGCAGGTGCTTGTTCTTCCAGGCAACAGCAAACTCGCCTGGGCCCTCATCACTTTCCTCGATCCTTCTGTTGCCCTCATCCCTCCTCTCTCATCGTAACTCCCACCCACGCCCCCCACGCCCCCCGCCTTATTCCCCTCGCACAGGCATCACGCCGTGTGTGACGCTCTTACACTGGGACCTGCCACAACCCCCCATCGTAACTCCCTTCCACCCCCCCCCCCCTCTCCCTTCCCCTCTCCTCCCCCCCATCCCCCGTTCGCAGGCATCACGCCGCATGTGACGCTCTTTCACTGGGACCTGCCGCAGGCACTGGAGGAGGAGTTTGGCGGATTCAGAGGCGAGGCCATCGTGTGAGTCACTGTGAGTGGGAATGTGGTGATGCTGAGGGTGGCAGTTTCATGGTGCCCATGCTGCTGTCTGTGTTGTCGATGCTGGTTGGTGCGTTATGCTCCCGTTGCTCTCATCCCTCCGCTCCATGTCTTTCCCGTCTCTGCCTTCATCCCTGGAGGCCTTTTATGCTTGATCAACGTCTGGGGCATCTCAGCGTGTAAGAATTCCCCGGCCTTGGATCATACACTGCTCTCACCCAGCTCTTACACCGCATGCTTCTTTCTTCAACAAATGTGTGCTCCACTGCCTTGTATTTAGGGAGCATGCTGCGCTCTGCTTCTCCTTCCACACGGACCCACTGAAACTCACTCAACAAGCCCCACTTTTTCGCCATCCCATCCCAGCCCTGCATTGAGGGGCTAATACATGCGGCTCCGCTTCTCCCTCTTCAGAGACAGGGTGTCTCGCTGGCTCACTTCTATCAAGCCCGCCTTCGCCACTAAGGGCCACGCCATGAAGGATTTGCACCCTAACGATCACACCTCATCCCACCCCTTGTCCCCCACCCCAGCTCCGCATTCACGGTATCTGCACAGCTCTGCTTCTGCCGCTTTGGCCACGGAGGGTCTCATTGGCTCACTTCCAAGGGCCATAACATTGCCACCAAGGGCTACGCTATTGGGGACTCTGCTCCCTGCTGTCTTCCCTTCCCCCTCACCCGACCCTTCACCCTTTCCCCCGTCCCCCACCGCAACCCCGCATTCAGGGAATATGCACGGCTCTGCTTCTCCCTGTTCGGCGACAGAGTGCCCTACTGGCTCACGTTCAACGAGCCCTACACCTTTGCCACCAAGGGCTACACTGTGTATGACTTGGCGCCCTGCGCTCATCTCTTTCCCCTTCCTCTTCCCCCTTACGGTGCTGCTTTCCAGGGCTACGCACGGCTCTGCTTCTCCCTGTTCGGAGACCGAGTGCCCTACTGGATCACCTTCAACGAGCCCTACACCTTTGCCACCAAGGGCTACGCCGTGCGGGACTTTGCGCCCGGGCGCTGCTCCGACCGGCAGTGCTGTGCGGAGGGCGATGGGGCGGTGGAGCCGTATGTGGTGGTGCACCACATGCTGCTGGCTCACGCTGCTGCTGTGAACTGCTACAGGACAGAGTTCCAGGTAGGTGGGTCGGTTGCTGCTACGGATTGTAACAGGAGAGACTTGTACACGGATGGGTAGGGGGCTGCTGCTGCTGGGGTGCTCGAGGAGAAGATGGTGTGGGTGAGTAGCAAACCATAAACATCCTCCATGTGCCAGTGCCAAGCCCTAAACCCGAGTTGACTTTTGAGTCGACTCAAAAGTCAAATATAAACATCCTCCATGTGCCAAGCCCTAAACCCGAAACCCTGGAAGAACCCTTTTCTGCTAGTTTCCCATTTGACCACCCCCTCCCTTCCCTCTCGTCCCCTCACCCTGCCGCCCTTCTTCCCACTGGCCTTTGCTTGTCCTTTGGGCCTGTAATTTATCTTCCTCCGCCTGTCATTCATCCCACCCCGCCGCCTGTAATTCATCCCCCGCCACAACGCCACCCCTCTTCCCTCCCCATCTTGCTCTCCTTCTACCTGTTCCTCTCCGTATCGTATCTCCCACCAGCCCCTGCAAGGGGGGGAAATCGGCATCTCCACGGACAGTGAATGGGCGGAACCCTTTTCCAAGGACCCTGATGACGTGGCAGTTGCTGATAGGCGCATGCAATTCAACCTCGGATGGTGGGTGGCTGCACTTGTCTTCGTCCACCCTCCTGCGAGTCTTCGCTCCTCCCACACCGCGTGTGCACCAATGTTTGCATGCCTGCCCGACTGACTTTTGAGGCGCCTCCGAAGGTGCCTGCATGACTAATCGTTCACCCAGGCTATCCATCACCGTCTCGTCTCTCACAACCAACAACATGCTTCCTCCTTCCTTTATTCCCCTTCCGCCTCCTCCTTATGCCAATGCATCGCTTTCCTTTCCCTGTTATTCTTCAACACACGCTTTCCCTCTTCCCTCCTCCCCCTTATTCCCATTTTCCCCGTCTCCCGCATCAGGCTGTTGCATCCCATATTTTTTGGCACCTATCCACCCGCCATGCGCCACTATGTGGGCCCTCGCCTGCCCTCCTTCTCCCCCTTACAAGCTGCCTCGCTTAAAGGCAGTGTGGATTTTGTGGGCCTCAACCACTACACGTCCAGATACATTGCACATGCAGGCCCCAGCGAGGACGGGTACAATGCACATGCCGATGCGCAGCGGGGGAAAGAGAAAGGCAGGCTGTGGAGCTACTTCGATAATCAGCATGTAACTGTTCATGGTGTGAGCATGTTACTGTTCATGGTGTGAGCATGTAACTGTTCATGGTGTGAGCATGTTACTGTTCATGGTGTGAGCACAGCCTTCATTGCTTCATTGTGACTGTTTTTCCCAAAATCCCTTTGTCTTCGCATTTCATTTCTACTGTTCTCCTCCATAATTTTCCCCCGTAATCTCTCCCGATGCTCTCATGTGTCTCCGTCTCTAACTGTGCGTGTCCCCTTCCATGCTTGCATGCATGCATGCATGCATCGCACAACTCATGGCATGTCCACGTGATGCTCCTCCATGCCGTTCCTGTACTCTGCATTCTTCCACACAAGGCACTGCACTCACATGGCAGTTGAATGTGATGGCCGCTTGATTGGCCAGCAGGTGATTCACACCCCACTTTCTATCCCTCTCCTCTCCTTTCCTCTCATCTCCTCTTCTCCTCTCCTCTCCTCCCCTCTCCTCTCCTCTCCTCTCCCCTCCTCTCCTCTCCTCTCCTCTCCTCTCCTCTCCCCTCCTCTCCTCTCCTCTCCTCTCCTCTTCTCTCCTCTCCTCTCCTCTCCTCTCCTCTCCCCTCCTCTCCTCGCCTCTCCTCCTGTCTCCTCCTCATTCCTGAAGCCCCTGAACGCTGTAAGAAAGCCATGTTGATGCTTGTATCCTCTTCATTGTATTCCACTTTGACCTGCACCACAGGAAATACACCCTAGTTACTTGCTCTCTCAGAAAGGCACACTTGATCTTTGCCAAACTGTTTTCCATGTTGATTCCGATGCCGATTTCAGTTGCTCATGTTTTAGAGCACTTCACAAGCTGCTGCTCACTCCCCTTCTCCCCTCCCCTTCCCCCCTCTTGTTTTGAGTCGACTCAAAACACGACCCCCCTTCCCCCCTCCTCATGCACATGCACCAACCTGCGTCACACCAGGCAGCGTCCCCGTGGCTGTACGAGGTGCCATGGGGGGGACGATGGGGCCGTGGGGCTTGCAGACGCTGCTCATGCACATCACCACCGCATATGGCGCCCCACCCAAGCTGCCCACCCCTGTCACCCCGTTTTCCCCTCCCCATGCACCAACGTGCACCACACCAGGCGGCGTCACCATGGCTGTACAAGGTACCATGGGGCTTTGAAAAGCTGCTCATGCACATCACCACGACTTACAACGCACCTCCCATCTATATCACGGAGAATGGTACTGCTGTCCTGTGGTTACTAGTGTACGTGCTGTGCTTGTGCCACCTCACATGCCGTACATTCTCATCTCACATGCCCTGCATTCTCATCTCACATGCCATGCATTCTCATCTCACATGCCATGTATTCTCATGTCACATGCCATGCATTTTCATCTCACATGCCATGCATTCTCATCTCACATGCCATGCATTCTCATCTCAGATGCTATGCATTCTCATTTCACATGCCATGCATTTTCATCTCACATGCCATGCATTCTCATCTCACATGCCATGCATTCTCATCTCAGATGCTATGCATTCTCATTTCACATGCCATGCATTTTCATCTCACATGCCATGCATTCTCATCTCAGATGCCATGCATGTTCATCTCACATGCCATGCATTCTTATCTCACATGCCATGCATTCTCATCTCACATGCCATGCATTCTCATTTCACATGCCATGCATTCTCATCTCACATGCCATGCATTCTCATCTCACATGCCATGGATTCTCATTTCACATGCCATGCATTCTCATCTCACATGCCATGCATTCTCATTTCACATGCCATGCATTCTCATCTCACATGCCATGCATTCTCATCTCACATGCCATGGATTCTCATTTCACATGCCATGCATTCTCATCTCACATGCCATGCATTCTCATTTCACATGCCATGCATCTCATCTCACATGCCATGCATTCTCATCTCACATGCCATGCATTCTCATCTCACATGCCATGCATTCTCATCTCAGATGCTATGCATTCTCATTTCACATGCCATGCATTTTCATCTCACATGCCATGCATTCTCATCTCAGATGCCATGCATGTTCATCTCACATGCCATGCATTCTTATCTCACATGCCATGCATTCTCATTTCACATGCCATGCATTCTCATCTCACATGCCATGCATTCTCATTTCACATGCCATGCATTCTCATCTCACATGCCATGCATTCTCATCTCACATGCCATGGATTCTCATTTCACATGCCATGCATTCTCATCTCACATGCCATGCATTCTCATTTCACATGCCATGCATTCTCATCTCACATGCCATGCATTCTCATCTCACATGCCATGGATTCTCATTTCACATGCCATGCATTCTCATCTCACATGCCATGCATTCTCATTTCACATGCCATGCATTCTCATCTCACATGCCATGCATTCTCATTTCACATGCCATGCATTCTCATCTCACATGCCATGCATTCTCATCTCACATGCCATGCATTCTCATCTCACATGCCCTGCATTCTCATCTCACATGCCATGTATTCTCATCTCACATGCCATACATTCTCATCTCACATGCCATGTATTCTCATCTCACATGCCATGCATTCTCATCTCACATGCCATACATTCTCATCTCACATGCCATACATTCTCATCTCACATGCCATACATTCTCATCTCACATGCCATACATTCTCATCTCACATGCCATACATTCTCATCTCACATGCCATACATTCTCATCTCACATGCCATACATTCTCATCTCACATGCCATACATTCTCATCTCACATGCCATGCATTCTCATCTCACATGCCATGCATTCTCATCTCACATGCCATGCATTCTCATTTCACATGCCATGCATTCTCATCTCACATGCCATGCATTCTCATCTCACATGCCATGGATTCTCATTTCACATGCCATGCATTCTCATCTCACATGCCATGCATTCTCATTTCACATGCCATGCATTCTCATCTCACATGCCATGCATTCTCATCTCACATGCCATGGATTCTCATTTCACATGCCATGCATTCTCATCTCACATGCCATGCATTCTCATTTCACATGCCATGCATTCTCATCTCACATGCCATGCATTCTCATTTCACATGCCATGCATTCTCATCTCACATGCCATGCATTCTCATCTCACATGCCATGCATTCTCATCTCACATGCCCTGCATTCTCATCTCACATGCCATGTATTCTCATCTCACATGCCATACATTCTCATCTCACATGCCATGTATTCTCATCTCACATGCCATGCATTCTCATCTCACATGCCATACATTCTCATCTCACATGCCATACATTCTCATCTCACATGCCATACATTCTCATCTCACATGCCATACATTCTCATCTCACATGCCATACATTCTCATCTCACATGCCATACATTCTCATCTCACATGCCATACATTCTCATCTCACATGCCATACATTCTCATCTCACATGCCATACATTCTCATCTCACATGCCATGCATTCTCATCTCACATGCCATGCATTCTCATCTCACATGCCATGCATTCTAACCGGATTCTCCGGAGCGAATCTGTGAGTCGACTCAAAGATAAGGGAGGCGCCATCAAAGGCCACCTTGCTGCTGCCTGGATCTGGGCGTGCCCCTTCCCTTCTGTCCCATTCCATGTGTGATGAGTCTGTTTTGAGTCGACTCAAATACTGTTCCATCTCGCTTCTCTCCGCTCCATCACTCGCACATAATTCCCCTCGTTTGTCTCACACCTGGTGGTCCCCTGTCACCTTAAGATGAGAATCATAATTTCTTGAGACCTGTGAGGACTACGAGTGAGCCACACCCTCATCTTGCAGGGCCCAGTGAGGACTATGAGTGAGCCACACCCTCAAAAGTTTTAACCCTCTCCACTCCTCACGCCCTCCCACCTACCCCCACACTCCTTCACTCTCCACACCTCCCCACACCTCTGCACACCCCGGCAGGTCTAGATGAGGAGGACGACCCGTCGCTGCCACTCCACGTGGCCACCAATGACCCACATCGGATCCGCTTCTACCACGCGTATCTCTCCCACCTTCTCGCCGCCATCAGGTGGGTCTGACTGGCGGTACCAAAGCAGTTTTGCAGTCTGTGGCCACTCTGTGGCCTCCACGTTCTGCAGTCACTACTGATCCCCACCGCACTCCCACCTACTTGCCGTCGTGAGGTGGGTTCACCCCCGTGACCCCATGTCTTTCACGCCTGCTGTACCTTGATGCCCCACGCCCACTGTTGCTCAAGGGTTGAGTGCTAATCCAAACAAACGTGAAGGTGAAGAGGCAAGCTGTAACAAGTGCACGTTGAGCCTCTCCCCCCTGTCTGGTCCTAACTCGATCACTGCCATACCGGGGCATTCATACTCAGATCATTCCATGCATGCATGAATGCTCTTGTTCTCACCTGTGTGCTGACTTCAGTCATGCAACTTAAGCTGGTGTTTTTTTTAGCATGCTGACATCACCAGACACGTTGTATTGTGCGTTCATCCCTTGCCGTCTCACCCCTGCATGCATGACTGGCAGGCAAGGGGCGGACGTGAGGGGGTACATGGCATGGTCGTGGATGGACAACTTCGAGTGGCAGATGGGGTACTCACGCCGCTTTGGCATTGTGCATGTGGACCGCAGCACTCATGGGTTGAAGAGAACACCCAAAGTGTCTGCGCTCTGGTGGCAGAGGCTCCTCTCGGGGATGCCTGTGCATGGGTCCTAGATGAGTGTAAGCACAGATGTGGAACATGGTTTTCTGTTGTTTGCAATGTGCTGAAGCAAAGATGCTGCAACACGACAATGTGATCGTAGCGTTCCTTAGCGTTCAATAGAGCTTGTGCATTCACGGTGAAAGTTGGCAACAGTTTCAGTAGCAAAAGTTGAGAACAACAATGGTTGAACAAGCAATGACAAGAATGACTACATCAGAGCCTACCGTATTCTCCCGGACATAACACCCTAGGGTATAGCTAAAAATACAGGGAAAAAATGGGGGGGGTCTCCTCATAGGAAAAAAATACATAATACCCGGGTCTTTACATATGGCATATCTTAGTGTTAGTGTTTTTTTAATTAGTCAATGTGGGTGTTTTGCTGGTCGTTTTAGCATCACTGCCTGAGGCGCGAATGTGAGTTTCGGCCTCGAACTTCATCGCCCCCACGAAAATGGCATGTGGCACCTCTCTTGCCACTTGCAACGGAAGATTCACCTGCACGTGGCGACAGAGAAATAGTGGGAGGGGGCAAATCTCGGCAGATTGCCTTTGAATGTACCGCGAAATTTCATTGAGGGAGAAATTCACACGATATTCTTCCGTATTGCAGCTACTCGTTAACGACTATAATAATGAATCCGTAAGAAAAGGGGGGGTGTTATAGAAAATCAGCCAAAAAGGGGGGTATAGTAGAAACGAGGACTATCATAACACCCACCCCGCACAAGCTACCCGGGGGTGTACAATTATGGGGGGGTGTTTTGTCCGGGAGTATACGGTAATAACCTAGCAGGCAAGCTGGTCGACCGCCAGCGCAGCATGGTCGATAGTCTGCCAGCATTGCGTAGAGGCACCTCGTCAGCGTTGCAGAAGAGCGGCCTGCCAACGCTGCACCAGAGCGGCTTGCCAATGCTACTGCAGAATGATCTGCCAGTGTAGCATCCGTAGGTGACACCCACTTCGCAGGTGCGCACCCACTTCGCAGGTGCGAGGCGAAGGTCGAGCACATTCTCGACCGTCGCGCAGGTACCGAGTTGGCCATGTGCCGACAGTAACGCTAGAAGCTCCACATCGGCCTCGGAATACCAGCCCCAGGTCGCTTTCATCATCGCAGCCTCGACGAGCCTCGCGTGCCTCCGCACAACCTATTCCCGTCAACACTCAGCACCCCAAGAACCAGCACCTCCAGAGTCAGCACCCCCAGAACCTTCACCAACGGACTTAGGAAGTGGCGGCGATTTCTGCTGTGGCTCCAAGAAGAAGGGGCGCCTCGGGAGAGGTTGCAACGCACCCGCAGAACCTCCAGCAGTAGCACCCTCGACTCCACCACCACAGGACTCTCACCACCCCCAGAACCAGCACTTCCAAAGTCAGCACCCCCAGATTCAGCACCCCCAGAGCCTGCACTTCTAGTGTTATTACCCCCAGCAGCACCGGAGACCACATCGACAGGCTGCAGAGGCGTCGAAGATGGCTCCAGCGCAGCATGGTCGATAGTCTGCCAGCATTGCGTAGAGGCACCTCGTCAGCGTTGCAGAAGAGCGGCCTGCCAACGCTGCACCAGAGCGGCTTGCCAATGCTACTGCAGAATGATCTGCCAGTGTAGCATCCGTAGGTGACACCCACTTCGCAGGTGCGCACCCACTTCGCAGGTGCGAGGCGAAGGTCGAGCACATTCTCGACCGTCGCGCAGGTACCGAGTTGGCCATGTGCCGACAGTAACGCTAGAAGCTCCACATCGGCCTCGGAATACCAGCCCCAGGTCGCTTTCATCATCGCAGCCTCGACGAGCCTCGCGTGCCTCCGCACAACCTATTCCCGTCAACACTCAGCACCCCAAGAACCAGCACCTCCAGAGTCAGCACCCCCAGAACCTTCACCAACGGACTTAGGAAGTGGCGGCGATTTCTGCTGTGGCTCCAAGAAGTAGGGGCGCCTCGGGAGAGGTTGCAACGCACCCGCAGAACCTCCAGCAGTAGCACCCTCGACTCCACCACCACAGGACTCTCACCACCCCCAGAACCAGCACTTCCAAAGTCAGCACCCCCAGATTCAGCACCCCCAGAGCCTGCACTTCTAGTGTTATTACCCCCAGCAGCACCGGAGACCACATCGACAGGCTGCAGAGGCGTCGAAGATGGCCGAGACGGAAAACCAAGATGGGTCTCCAAGCGCGGTGGGCGGCAAGAGGCCGCAGTGTCGTCAACAGCGCGGTCACTGCCGTCAGCCGGGCCAGAGGGGTCCAAGACCATGGGGGGTGGTGTAACCTAAGACACACCAGAGACCTCCAAAGGCCCAACCATGGGGGGTGGTGTAACCTAAGACACACCTGAGGGAGCAGGACGCGGGTTGGGGGGGAAGGGGGGGTGGGGGAGGGTCTACCTGGGGGTAACCTGAGGGGGGGGGGGGGGGGGGGGGGGACAGGGGAAATGCGGTGGGGGAAGAGACGGTAGTAGCAGACCGACTCGTCAAAGGTGACGCTGCGGGAGGACAAGACGCGACGCATGACTAGGAGGTAGAACTGCCAATCAGGCGCGTCGGTGGGAAAGCTAAGGAGGACGCAGCGAATAGTGCGAGGAGAGAGCTTGCATGTAGAGGTATCACAGACAAAGGCAAGCGAACCTAAGACCCGTAACGACGACGCATCGTCAACCTCCCCCGTCCAATGTTGTGTAGGCGAGGACTCTGATTTGGAGACACGGGGCCAGAGGTTGAGCTGATGCGCGGCGTATTGGTCACAGAAAATAGGGAGCAGCCGCATGGATCATGGAGGTGCGAGCAACCTCCATGATCAAGCCAACACGGCGCTTAGCAATCCCATTCTGATGTGGAGATGCCGGAAGCGTGAACGACTGGGTGATACACTCCTCAGGAAAAGAAATCCTCAAGAACACTGGAAGGAAACTCACCATCACGGTCAGTGTGCAGATGGAGCACCGGGACGCCCTCTCGGAATCGTGCGCTTAGATGGCGACAAACAGAGCGGGTCCAAGGGATTAAAACAACACTGACGTCTCTCTTATGCTCTAAGGGAAACACCGCGGTGTAGCATGTATAGTTGTCGATAACCAGGAGAAGTAGCGTGGCGCGGTCCAAAGATGGGGGCGGGGCCCCACACGTCCATGTGCAGCGTCTGCAGAAAAGTAGTGGTCGGAGGGAACGTGGAGGAGCTACGAGCGGAGCGCTGCCGCCCCTCGGCGCAGGGAGTGCAAGGCGGCGCAAGCAACGGTAGGAGCGGGGGCAAGGACCACGAGAGGTTAGAGACAAAGAGATGCGAGTGCGTGTGACGCAGACGTTGTAGGGAGGGGTGACCAAGACGGTGGTGCCAGAGGAGGGACGAGTGCATGAGTAACCGACACGAGCAAGACGTAGCTACCTGACCGGACGCGACCTTAGTGTGCAGTGCGTACAGAGCGAGGTGGTTGTCAGTCAATGTGTCCGTACAGATCACCACAAGCTCGCCCCCAGGAGTGGTCGTAGTGACCAACAGATCCTGGTGAAAAGAGGTACTCACAAAGTTCGTAGCGAACGAGAGGGGAGCAAGAGAGAGCTATCGGACATGGGAGAACAATGGAGCTGCGTGAAACGACTGGGCCAAAGGAGGGATCAGCCAGGGTGACAGGGACAGGTGCTGTGAGCGGTGTGACTGTGGTGCAGTCGCGGAAGAAGCAGCGAGACGCACCTGAGTCTAGCGTGAACGTGTGCAAAGCCTCCGTAGGAAATGCACCTGCGCTAGCAGTCTCACAAGCACCTACACTAGTAGCATCTATACCACCAAACGCAGCCACCTGGGTCGCCGTATTTTGGCCTCCACCCCCGTCAGCTCCACCTCGGCTGCCACCCAAGCCCTGTCCTCCACTTCCGCTACCCTCACAGCCTCTTCCACCCTCGCCACTCCCACCGTGACCGCCACCTCCACCACCCCGCCACCCCCATTGCTACCGCCACCTCCACCACCTTCACCGCCCCCACCTCTTGTACGCCCACCCCTGCTGTGGCGCCTCCTACTAGAAGTTGACGCATCACCGACCTCCTTAGTATCGAGGAAGTTTAACAGCAGTAGCAGAGGCAACAGAGGGCGCAAGAAGGGAGGGTGAGTACCCCTCAAAGAAGGAGATGTCGGGAGAGCCATGGGAGGTAACTACAGCGCGGACACTGGTCTCAGCCTCTAATAGACGAGTCTCAAATGAGGCAAGGGTGAGCTCAGTGGGGTCTAGGGAGAGGAAGTGGTCTCAGTGGTTGGTGCAAAGCGAGTGAAGGAGGCGAGTCGTGAGGAAGTAGAGAGCCTGAAAGTCTGGCCGGAGAGCAGCACGGTAGCGGGTGTCAACGGAGAGCAGCTGAGATGTGAGGTTGGCTATAGTGGTAAAGTCAGACAGCTCAGGGAAGAGAAAGAGCAGTGCAAGATGGCTTAGGGTAGCAGCAGTGTCAGGGCACTAACTTAGCTTAGAATGCGGGTTCAACTAGGGTCTAGGCTTATGAGCCTAGGCCAAGGGTATCATGTGGGTTGTCTGCAAGGAGAGTGTTGAGAATGGTTAAGTTCACTATGGCACAGAAGGTATATAAAGCAAACTAACAAATGTGAAAGAGGTGCAGCACCATACAAGAGAACTACACTACAGACATAATATAATAAATATATATAAATATATTATGACACACCCCCTTTTCACCTGAAGTGAATAACCTGCGGAGATAACTAGAAGAACGGGAGCTAGAGTACGGGCTAGGCACGGGGTAGGAGGGATCTCTGCGTTCGTTCACTTAGTCGTTTCCTAGTGCACACACTGCTTGCTAGTTCACATGGCAATTTGGCAAGAGTTTCACTAAGGAAAGTTGACAAAAATGATAGTAACAACATTGGCATCACAGACTACATCGGAGCTAGCTAGGCTGCTGGTTGACCTCCAGCGCAGCAGCGCTCGCACCGCTCCAGCGTTGCAGAGTAGCGGTTTGCCAACGTTGCAAGTCAACGGTGTGCCAACGCTGCAGCAAGTCGGCTGCACAGCGT